TACTCGAAGTTTTTCCGGCTTTTGAGGGTTGAGGACGCCATGATGAGGCAGGAACCAAACTGGTCTATCTGTTACTTCCAGGTCTTCTACAGGAACTCTTACTGCGTATTCTTTGTTGATATACTCGTTGATGGTCGTACAATACTTCTTGCAAATATCATCATCTTTTAAGAGCCTTTTCTTTAGGAGGTTCAATCTATGTTCGGCTAGCATCTTGTTGTTTGGCATACATGGACACCAATTTTTCCAGGGAAGTGCCATCTGATAGTGTCCTTGGACTCTCTTCAGAGTTGTTTCCATGATTTCGAGGGCTTTGGAATCATCAATGGACATGCACGGCTTGTYACACGTCAAAGGATCCCCGAAGTCAGACTTCCAAAACTTCTCTAGCTGTACTGTAAGTTTAGTGTCTTCATAGTAGGCTTGGTCGCACACAGTGTTTTCTACGTAATTAAAATGGACTTGAGCAGGTTCTTGGCTTAATACCTTCTCTGATGGCCCGAGTACTGTCCATCCTAGAGGAGTACGTACACCGTATGGTTCTCCTGGATTTCCCTTTCTTTCRTCAAGGACGTAGAACGCTTCTGGTACATTGCAGCCAATAAGTAGTTTAACCTTGCGATCGATAGGTACGTGTTGAGTTCCAATGTCCTGTAAATGTGRCCAGCTCTCAATCTCTCTCTTGGTAGGGATACTGCTTTCTGATACATTTAGARGTTCAATGGCCCAAACTGTSGGGATGTCGATAGCTGAAGTACTGTCTATGGCTTCGACCGTGAGAGACGTTTCCCTTCCAACTCTTAAGCTATTCTTCTTCTCTTGAGTCGTCAAGGAAATTCTTCTTTCTGTGGCATCAATATTTAAGTCTGTCAGCAACTGTTCGTCGCACAAGGAAACATTAGAACGACGAACTTGCCATTCTGATTCTTTATCTTTACGGGAACAATTTTAAGGAACACCTTTCTGCTTGCTGAAGATTCTTTGTGGGCTCCGGCCCTGATGGCGTTACACTGGGAACTAGTAGATTCCTCTTTATTCTCTTCTTTGTGCTAACTTCCAGTTTCTTTGCCTTTGCTTGGAGGTCGATGTAGAATGGTTTGATGTTTAGACTTACAGTTTTCAACAGTACATGCTGGTGGTTGTGCGCATCCAACAGCGAAGTGGCCCTTGTGAAAGCAGTTGAAGCAAATGCTGTCTTTTCTCAGGATCCCGACTCTTTCGTCGTTTGACATATCTTTAAACTTAAARCATCTTTGKAGGTTGTGAGGTCCGTTGCAGGCGGGACAATTCCATTTTCGTCTTTGCTTTGTTTGGCTTTCGTCTTGCGTTCCTTGTTGGACTTGTGTCATCATAGTTGTAACGTTGCGATTAGATTGCAAGGTGGATTTCTCGCGGATGCGTCTTAACGGTCCTTCTTTACTTCTTACTTTGGTTGCCACGATGTCACCAAAGACAGGATCGTTTATCTCATCAGCTTGCTCTTGCACGAAGTCTGATAAGTCCTGTATTCCAGGTCTGATTGAAACCGATCTTAGAGATCTCGTTCTGGAGAGCCATTTAGATTTGAGGTTGTGGGGAAGTCTTTCTGCAATGCGTCTCAAGTTATCGGAGCTGTTAATCTCACTAAGGTAGCCAATTGCAGTTAGAGTATTCACACATGACTTCATCTGTAACGCGAATTCCAGTAGGGTA